TGATATGGTTTTCGGACTTGAAGCCGCTTTCCGAGCCGTGCATTCCCACGTAGCCGTATTGAAATCGTAACCAGAACCGTATCCAAATCGTGTAAACCGCGACGACACCTAAATTATAACGAAACCGAAAGATAATCATATGAATGATTCCCGGGCGATCCTCTGACCTTGCCAAGGAAAAAAGTCCTAAGATTAGACCCTTGCAGGGGAGGGCCCTGCGAAGTCATTGCAGCAAGCTGACCCTAAACCCCAGGCACACCCTCAACCCAAACGAGAGCCTTCCGGCAAACCCGAAAGCATCTCACGCACCGAGCGCAGACCTTGGGAAAGCCGCCGTAGTCAAAGTACAAGCTGTGCCTGCTGGCTGCAGTGACTTTCAGCGCAGAACCGGTCTCCCAGTGCGCTGTCACAACGATGATGGCCGCAGGAGCACTGGGAAGGGAGCGCGGGTAGCCCTGCAAAAACTTCGCAATAGCAGGTTGTTTGCCGAGCAGAGGCAAGGGTCCACCGCCATGGTTGACAAAAACCTCATGCTTGCAACGCCGACATGTGTGCAACAGCACTTCACAGAGCTACACGGAGCTTAACTTCATGGTGCTACAGTGCTACATGTATTTTCGTTCTTCTGCAGGGCACACAAGGCATGCGCCGTCCAGACGACGACTCGAATGCTGTGACGGCTGTCACCTGCTCTTTCTCGCTGCTGGTCCGGCTGTGCATTTGGCCCATGAAGCAAGTCCGGGCAGACGTGGGTTGCGTTATCCCAACCTCACCCTTCCAGTTGGCGAAAGGCCAAGCTTTGAGCCGAAACTCGGATGATTGGAGAGCCGACCGCAGAGCCCAGGGGCCCGGTGCACAAGTGAAGCTGGACCCACTGCCTCATCCAACTTGGCCAGTGCATGGCGCAAGTCTTGCTCCAAGGCCTTTCGACGGAGCACTAGGACTCTTGCGGCGCTGTGAGCACGGTCAGTAGCGGCAGAACTACCAGAACACTGTGGAGGAATGCCTTTCGCGATTGCTCTGAAGAGAGGAGCTTTTGCACATCCTGGCAGGTGTCTGTGACAGATGTGCCATCATCGCTTCGCACAGGTGAATCATCAAAGATGGGGGGCCATGGAGTCGGCTGCTTCTTCGTGCCAATGTGGTGTGCCACCTCACTGACACAAAAAGGTTTCGCTCAACACACGAGGGTACAGTCCGAGGGGCGTTTTCGCCTCCCCTTGCAGCCCTCTTCCTCGGCACCTTTCCTTACATCAACTGCAGGGCGCGGAAATGTCTCCTTTTCACCGAGCATTTTTCACATCTTTGCCGTGCAATGACCAAAGAACTTCGATAAACTCATGGCCTGTGCTTTTCGGCTTCATTATTTAGTGAGCTTGGCGTTGCGGGGGATCTGATACGCAAGCGCCCACATGCATGGTGAATGCCAACTCAGCAGATCATCTTGTGTAGATCATTCTTGTCATGTCAGTTGCCCCTGCCAGAAATTTAAGATTAAGGCATGGGGTAGATTAGCAGTGCTCAACATTGCATCTCCCGAACTTCTGCCCGAAGCTGAACTGCCTTTCAAGTAGCAGAGCCAACGATTTCTGTGGCACCTCTCAGGCCAGAAGCTTCTCTGCGCTTGCAACGATGGAAGGCGTGCCATGCATTCTTGCCGTGATGCTTATCTCTTCCAAACCACGACTCCTGCTCGCTTAGGTTAATCATACAGCGCCTGGCTGGGTGGTTGAACAAGCTGATCTACACCATACCAGCATGACGGCGGCGGGCACTGGAGAAACTCTTACGTTCAATGCCTGCCGTTCGGCGCGGCTCATCTTGCGCAGCTGCTCCTCCATCTTCTTCCTTTGCCACACCACTGCTTCATCATCCCGCACAAGACCCGTCATGGCTTCTTATACGAACCTCGACCCTTATAGTGTCCTTCGCTGTTGTCCGACGGACCCCTGCGAATGTGATCGCACCTCGTTTCTTGTGGTCAAGCGCGTCGAGAAGTTTAGGCGATGATGTAGTGTGGAACAGTGGCTCCAAGCCGACTTCCCTCACGTCGTCCTGTCTGTTTGACACAAAGCTACAGCAACATGGGTAGCTCTGCAGCCGCCTTTGCACTTTGCAGGCTACTGCCAAAGTCTGAAGCTAAAGCAGCTTTTACGGGATATGATATGGCATGGGCCATGAGCTAACACTTGCTATGATAGTAAAGACTTGGCTGCGTAGATGGGCCTGTCCCTGTTCCTTTGATGTTTCTGCAAGGCTCCGCTGCTGCTCACTGTGAGCTAGTCTCTCTCGCAGCTCCAGTATCGACCTGGCACCATGCAGCACACGAAACATAGAAACACCCAATGTGCCCTCTGGCCTCGCATCGTCCTGAGTGTCCGCACTGGGGCAGCTGTTGTGCCTGGGCGCTTGGGATGGCTTGACAAGTGCATCCAATCCGGCTGATGCTGCAAGCCACATGCACAACACCAAATTGAAATGACTCCGGCTTGTTCCTGCTCTGGCAACTGACCGTTTCACCCATGCGGCGGTGCGTGAGGAACCTCATGATTTTACAATACTATGTGAGGTCACGTGGGGAATTCATATATGCAACGTCGCGACGGCTGCAACTGGGCAAGTTCCCGCTGTGCCAATCGCAAAGCATCAGCGGTATCTTGCGCAGTCTGTGCGAGCTCCACCTGCCGCCTGAAATGCACAGGCGGCTCGCTCATGCAATCTGGAGGGCTTTATGAGGAACAAATGCAACTTGCAGGTTCGCGGCCAAATGAATGCCTACAGCTGGATCTTCCGGAATATGTCGTGACGACTCAATCGAACAAGAAAAACATCGGACCAGCGCGTTCAAGCTCAGCGTCCTCTGCGACATACGCCTCGTCTGGGCCAGCTTCTCCTGTGCAAATGATCGGCATGCCCTCAAGCAGTTTCACGCTTCAGGCGGCTGCACATTGCCCTGCTCGTTCCGTAATCGTTCCTCCAGCAGCTGAACTCGATGACAGAGCGGCTGCCAGAAGGGTCCGAACACATCTTGGATGCGTACCTAGTTCAAGCATGTCATCTCGTCAGCAACATGCATCACGCTAATCCTCGCATACACGTTCATCGGATCGATCCGCAAGCCTTTTCTTAATCAGTCTGTGCCTTGCTGGCTGTCTTGGGGATAAGCGAAATCCCGAAAGGTATCCCTGTAATCTATTTTGGCAGTTCTTGCTGGTCTTGGTGGCCCTGATATTTACCCCGGGTCCTTCAGATCCTGGAGGGTTCTGGGACGAACTGTAGCTTCGACGAATCCCTAGCTAGATCTCTGTGTAGGTCGACTGTTCCCGTAAAGCCTTCTGCAGGCCCGAGGTCTGGAATGACCTGTTACGCGATGGCAGGAAGTGGCTAGGAAGAGAAGCCCAATCAGTAGCAGTGCTGTTGGGCTGCTTGGCCTAATGCGCTTGCTGATATTGGCGCGGATGGGTAGTACTGTTGGTAGTTCCAGCACTCGTACTCGTACGAGTACTGGTACTGGTACTATCATGCTAATACTCGTACTAGTACAGTGTGCCGGGAATTTAGAACAACTATTTGAGCAAGATTGCCAACCAAAAGGCAAACTAGTCTGCGAGCAAGTGGGGCGAGTGGGGCAAGGGGGGTGGAAGATTGCAAGCAATCTTGCAATCTTGGTCTGCGAAAGTTAAACTAGTCGGCGAGCAAGTGGGGCAAGGGCCAAGATGAACAAGATTGCCAAGACTGCTTGGCAATCTTGCTCCCCCACCCGACCGAGATTGTCAAGGTTACCAAGATGGCTCCATCAAAGAAATCTAAATTCCTGGCACGATGTACTAATACTAGTACTAGTACTACCAGCACGAGTACGATTACGAATACGAGTGGCAGCGGCAGTGGTAGTAGTAGTGATGTGGTGGTGGTAGCCGTAGTGGTACTGGTAGCGGTAGCGGTAGCGGTAGCGTAGCGGTAGCGGTAGTGGTTGTGGTTGTGGTCGTGGTTTTTGTTGTTGTTGTTGTTGTTGGTGGTGGTGGTGGTGGTGTTGTTGGTGTTGTTGTTGTTGTTCTACGGCCACTTCCCAGCTTCGACACAGCCTGGGCATGCCTCCACTGCCTACCCTCCGAGAGCAGAACACACAGCCAGCCGCAGCGGCCTTAGGGCCGCCCACACGCTCTCTCCAGGAGCCTGCTCCCCAGGGCACCC